TACTACTATAAGCTACATCGACCCCATGTGGGATGTAATTTTGTTATTTTGAAGACCTACTCTGGTTTTTGCAGGAGGCCACATTATAGCCTAACGGTTAAACAAAGGTTTCTGGGACCGCTCCGCAGGTAATCCTCATCCGCACAGTGGCACTTTGTGTCACCGGGTCTTTATCGCTCTGTGTGATGTCCTGGTGGGGTAAAATGTACATACTACACTCACTGCAGTTTAAGCTGTCCTCTTGTGGGATGCAGTTTTTCGTTATTTTGAAACACCACCCTGGCTGTTGCCGGGGGTCATAATATAACGTAACGGTTCAAAGGGGTTTCCGGGACTTTTCCATGGGTGATCCTCATATCCACATTGTGGCACTGTGTGTCACCGGGTCTTTAACGCTCTGTGTGATGTCCTAGGGGGTAAAGTTTACTTACTTACACACACACACAAGGTAAAATGTGAACTTTGCATAATATGCTTTTTAAAAAAAATAATTTTAATATCTGGGAAACAATACAGAATACTGTGCACTTAATTATGCACATGCCATATTAACTCAGTCATGTAATAATATCATCGTCATTAAATGATATAAGATTTACAGTGATATTTAATGTCACACTATGGACAATTGTGTGTCTGTGTATGTGAGACTCTACCTTAATCGGAAGCTGCAGTGGTGCAGTGGCCAGATGGTCGCCTTCTGACCTAAAGGTCACAGGTTTTAATCCTCGTGTCTTGATTTTTTTTTCTTTTCAGAAATGACCTCGGTTCTCAGGTCGATCCAGTCTCAAACGATTATGGGGGTAAAGTCGTGGGAAGTAAAGGTGGCCAGCATGATTATGACCACACTGCACACCGAGCGCCATTTGGTCTATAAAAATACGAATCCAGCATCACATATCTGATGCGCCACTAGCGGTTCCTTTACTTATTATAATTGTCTGTCACATCATTCTACGACTAACAGTACCTTTCCGTGTATTTTTTAAGTATCCAGAAGCAATGAGTTGTTAACCCTGAGGCTCGGTATTATGGATATTGCAACCCTTCGGCCTTGATTCCATGATAAATACCGTAAATCTGGGAGAAATATGGCTTTTCTGCCAATCTTGGGCGTGAACCCGGACCACAAGGAGTTCTTCACCTGGTCACTGCGCAGTCCGGTTTAGCCAACTATGCTAGTGAGCCGGGCCTTTCCGTGTATAAGACACGCCACACCCTCCCCATATTGGGTAAATGTGGGGAGGGGGTTCAAAGCCTAAAATTAAGAAAGAAATATTTTAATCATATTCTATGACCAGATGACCAAGTAAATGTTAACTTAAAAAATCTGGGAAAACATTTTGTCTTTTACAGGGAAAAATACAGTCTGTTTTTTCTTCTGTTCTGGGTAGGTCGCACTGCAACAATTGTCGTCTTTCGTGTCATGCTATCACTCCTTTCTATCACACTATCAACAATGACTTTCCCAGCACACTGCAACGGTTCTTTTTCCTGCCACACCTTCACAACTGTTTTTCACATCACCTATACAATTTGCACTACCCTAACACACATCTTTCATGTCAATCTACAGAGATTACTGTCTTTCACGACACACTACCAAATAAAATTACTCTCTCTCCTGACATACTCCCAGAGCAGATGTCTTTCATGACAGGCTACCTAATTACGTCAAACAGTCCATATCATCTCGTAAAGTTGTTATGTCTGAAGCCATTTTTAGCCACAAAAAGTTACTTTTATGCGTGCTGTGATGAGAGCAATTTTCTGTTAACGATCTGCTGATTGAAGATGATAATTCTGAGGTCGACCCAGCCTCATTAAAATGACAACAATACTCTGGGAATCATCTTTAAGAGGGTTTTAAAAAATGGGCGTCCAATATATCATGGTAAAAAATATTCAGGTTTAATACTTTTCAAACCAATGTCTATAACATCTGGACTGTTTTGTACTTCTATTTCACAGGAAACAGAATACAGCAGACAAAAATCATTTACATGGAAGGCAAGTGTTAAAGTTAAAGTCAACATGACTCGGCAGAATGGCTAACCGCCTGTTGACAGCATTGCAAAGAGCACGAACTCCGTAGCTCCAGCGACAAAGTGTATACCCCTTCAATGTTCCAGGACAAACAGCTGTTGAATACAGTCCAAAGAGCTGTCCTAGACAGTCTAAAGAGCTGTTGAAGACAATCCATAGAGCTGTCAATGACAGTCTAAAGATAGAACCGTGGAGTGACATTTCTACTAACTTCAGACAAGTCCTCAGATTGAGTAGTCTCACATGTTATATTGTTACAGCTGATTTGTCTGAAGTGATAAAGTAAAGAAAAGGTGAAGATTCTTTTCAAAGCTTTCACACGCACTGAGCACACATGGCGAGACCTATATTTTCTAAACCAATCAGCACTTGCTGACCACATCACCAGCATGCCAGCCACCTTTACTTCCCATGACTTTACCTGGTGCCCATTTAACGCTGGGTCAACCTGGCAGACAAGGTCCTTTTTTTAAAAAGGTCTGGTTCCTACAGGACCTGAACCCACGACCTTCCGATCCGCAAGCGAGCATCTAGCCAGTACACCACAGTGGCTCCCATTAGTTTTGGAAAACCCCTGATAATGCACTACAAAGAGAGTCAACAATCTGTTTCACATCACAACAGCCTGTCCCTTAATGTAAAATACACTCAGTATTTGAACAAAATGGTATCAAACCTACAAAATCCAATGCTTTGTACCATTACCTTCAACCTAGGATATGCCTGTATGAAAAGCAATGAAAGGGCAGATGCCCTTGCAGGCAATGCCGTCCTAAGATGTGAACTTTTAAAGGAAAGAAAGGACTCAATGCTATGAGAGTGAGACAACACATGCTGAAGACCTTAAACATAAGTATACTGATGTCTCTCTGACTTACATGTGAAGCCTGGGTATAACCATTGCAGCAGTGCAACGTAGAAAGCATGTAAGAGCCTACACTTACGTCTACCAATACAGAACAGGAGTCATCAGTGTAAACACACTAAAAAAATATGCTAAGGAGAAGAATGGAGCACTTATAGGTTGTATGCCTGATATTAATGAAGACCATCAGTAATGAACAATAAACAAAATAAACCCTTCATTCCTACTGTCCATGTCATGTCAATGTTGTTCACACATGTCATATATAGTACTTTATTCTATTTAATATTTAAAACAAAGCTGAATACATATTTAAAATACATTATATCCATAGCTCATAGGCTTAAAATCAGTTTTATTTCATCAACAGGTCAGTTAAAAGAAAATCTGAAGAACTTTATTTCCTTCAAAAAAATTGAATTCTACTATTGTGAAAAACTAAACTGTAATTCACTTTCATCAAATTTTTCATGAATAAATTTGTATGCATTTTATATATATATATATATATATATATATATATATATATATATATATATATATATATATATATATATATATATATATATATATAATATATATATATATATATGTATATATGTATATATATATATCGGGACATTTCTTGCAAACAAATATAAATGAATGGACCTCTCAAGTATGTATATTTATTTATATCCCCTCATCATACTGGTGACCCAAAAGAAAAAACTATTTTACTGAAAGCAAACAAATTTATTTTTATTTTAAAACTCAACCAAAACAAAAGAGTATTTACACATTTCAACTGTACAGACTTTACAAATAAGTTAGATTTACTGGCAATTACATCAATATTTTGTCTCTCAATGTATTAGTCTGCCCAAAAGTGCTGCTGGTTTGTTGACTATAATCAAAAATATTAGTTATACAATAAACCGAGTCTTCTCAGGGCTGGAAAAAACAAAGTCACAATCAGAAAGTCTTTTTTTTTCCCACCCACAGCCAACTGGCCAAGTCATCCAATCATTTTCAGTGGCCAGACATGAAGTAGTGGTTATAATCGCCACTGACACTTTCCACTGCCAAAGATAAATGCAAAATTGTATTACTTATATTTCTGTTGACTATTTATACAGGCCTCTTGGTTTATGTTTTGGACAAAGCAAAAAATAAGGCTTGCTGCATGTTTATGCTACTCATCCAGAAACTGTGAAATCTTCCAGTTACTAGTACTATGATAGCTTGAAACACATATTCTCAACTGCGTAAGTGATGAGGACGAAAATATCATGTGATTCTCTCTCTAGTGTAATCGTTACCTGCTAATGCTTACACATGTGAATTGATCAGCCTCACCACTGATCTTTTGCTTTAGCATGCAGCTCATTGTTCATTTTTAAAATTTCACTCACTTTCTCCATGTGCCTGCCTTTATTTCTATGCCCCTGTGAGTTCTAGTGTAGAGACATTCTAGTTATACTGTTTCAGGTCCTATCCAACACCAAAATCTTTTCTTCCCCTCTCGTTTCAGTATAAGTCAATACAAAAAACATTCAATCAACATTAAACAAAATAGTGAGAAACTGATATACAACAATAAGTCACCTTCTCAGTTGTGTGGATCTTTACCAAGGTATGGGGCGTCGCAGGTCGACCCAGCCTAAAATGGGTACCAGGATGTATGTCCTAGGAAAGTAAAGATGCCCGGTGTAATGCTGACCACATTACCCACCTAGTGCAGATTGGTATTTAAAAATATGGGCGCTCTTCCCATATGCCTAATGCATCTAAAGGCGCAAAAAGGGATCTTTACTTTACTTACATCTTCTCAGGGCTAAAAATATTAAAATCAGATATAAAATATACGACTGCCCGAAACATTTCACTGCAATGTATCACATCCTTCTAGTACAAACAACAAGAATATGTAAACACACCATAATAATATATGTTGTATATATTTATCCATTTAACTGGTAATTTACTGAGAACTGAAGACTGGAAAAATCTTGTAAAAAGAAATATAAAGGATATTACACATCCTTTAAAATACTAATGTCACTGTAAATATCAGTTGCTGAATGTGAGAATTTGCTGATGAAAAACATCACTTGGCAAGTTCAGCACAGGGAGACTCTTCTGTGAAAGAAATAAGTTTCATGCCAGGTTATATAAATATATATTAAAAACAAATGTCTTATAATTGCATATGCATAAACATTACTTCAGCCTATCTTTCTCTATGCAGACTGCAAATTTTCTAATAATTATATTATCCTAGATGTTACAGTATAGTGTGATACCAGAATCAATCAATATTTCAGTAGCAAGCAACTCGACACGTGTTTATAGATAGCTTATAATGCTTCAATCTTTATTTAATCCATGTCCCTCGGCCAGGTATTACATTCAACTAATTCATTTCCACGTGTTACTACAACTTGTGTCATGGGTTCAAATCCAAACGCAGGCGGTATTTTTTAAAAAATGACCTTCGCTCTGGGGTCGATCCAGCCTTAAACAGGTACAAGGTAAAGTCTTAGGAGGTAAAGGACAACGGGTGTGATTTTGACCACATCACCCATCCCAGTGCCGACTGGTCCATAAAATCTAGGCCTAGCACTATATATCAAATATACCTGAAAATGTGGAAAAAGGTAGTTGAATTGTAATTCATGCAGTTTAATACAGTTCTTATTGTAGCTAGTTTAGATGAAACTTTCACTTCTTTTTTTTCCCCGAGTAAAAATTGATTCAGAAAAAAAAAAAAGTAACAATAGGAAATGTCTGGGAGTGAAAGGCCTAAGTGGGAAAAAAAAAAAAAGGATTCTTTTCTGCTTGTTTACCCCATTCTCAGGGGCTCCTCTGCAAGATGGCCTTTTTTTCAGTGCATGGGATCAAGTTTGACTTTATGATTCGTTGTGAATTACACAAGACAGTGAACTTCACACTAGAGACAACATTGCAGATACAGATAATCTATATTGAGCAAACTAACGAAAAAAAGGAAAAAGAAAAAGAGGAAGAAATAGAAAAAGAAGAGGAAACTAAGCCTTATGCTAACACACACCCCCCCCCCCCCCCCCATGTGGTGAAATGTAACGAATAATAAACAGACAAAACCAGAAAGGGAAAGAATATGTAAACTATTAACCTTCTCTTCGGCTTACGGCCATTCACACTTAGGACTACAAAACATAAATAACAATAGGAAATAAAGAAAGATAGCTACATTAATAGCGTCAAAAAGTTCCCAGAACTGATGCAATAAAGTAGAAATGTATTTTTTGTTAACACTATGTACAATAATTACATGTACAAAGACTGAATTTTTGTTTTATTTACAATTCTGATACCCCTTGTAAATCAAAAGTGTTGAATATAAATTTGCCTGTTTGCCCTTTTTTACTACTGGGTCCAGTCGGCACACCTCGTGCCCTTCCTATTTTCCACCCATTCCTCTGGCCCATGCTGAGAAGTTATCGACCCAGCTGCTTCGAGATACCAGCTAAGTGATTTTGTGTATTTGCGTGGTATTGTTTGATTTATGTATGTGCTGATGAAGGCTCCATAGCCGCAACATTCACGTTTTGTTTGTATTTGTTATATGTTGAAGCTTGCTAATATAATTTTCGTTCGGTTTTATCTTTTTTGAATACAAATTCGACTTACGACCAGTTCCACTAACAATCCGTTAGAATAGAACTGGGTCGTAAGTCAAGGAAGCTCTGTATCAGCCAGCACAGGCAACTGACTCTGCCCATGTGGACAGACACTAGAGGATATTGACCGTGTGCTACAGATATAATCTCTGCATGCAGAAGAACGATCACAGGTCTGGATAGTTTGCATTCTGTTGAAAATCAAGCTGTATGGATCAGTGGCATGCAAGTGTCACACCACAGGATTCATAGATGCCTGTGGCCTTAACTAAAAACCACAGGCAGTGAAAATAGAAAAACAAGATGAACAAACACAGGCAGATCAAGGAAAATTACACTGAAAAAGTAGTTGAAAAAATGCACTTACTTTTTCCTCCGGTGGATGTCAGCATTTCATCAACGATTTCCCACAAGACCGTCTCTTTTGGGTATTCATTATCCACCAAATTCACTAGGTAGTAATTGTCATGAATATACTGTATGACCTCTCGAGACCTGGAGCCTTGAGGGTAAATCTCGGCCCAAGTTTCCAGCCACAGAGCAAATGCTTCGTCCTAGAACAATAGTTATTTTAGCTGTTCAAAGTATGCAAACAACTACAGTAATATGTTCTACATGTCAACCCACTTATAACAGCATCTTTGGGGGTTCCAATAGCTAAAGCATTTGTGTTTATTTCAAAGACTGTGTCATATGGCTGACTGGTGATCCTTGAGGATCACTGCTGGAGCTATGAAATTTGTGCTTCATGCAACCATCTGAGCAAACAGTTCTGCAGAGATATACAGAGCCATATAGGTTAACATCTGCTGCAATGAAGATCCTCCACAAACCCGGCAGGTCCAGTAGAATTCAATCCCTTAAAAGTGTGGCCCTGCTTTTCATAGTGACGCGTTTATGAGTCACCTAGTTAATGCTATTGGTTATTTTTGCACCTGCACAGGATAGGAATATATTTACTGAAAATAGCATTTAGGGAGGCTTTCCCTTATTAAAGCTGAGCTGACTTCTAATTTTCCCGTAAGCCTCATTGACAGAGGTCATAGGATCACTGCAGGAGTCAACCGATAAATACTGGTTTTTTAGGTCTCCAAAAATGCATTTCATTTAATTCTCCACTGTGCTAATGTTAATCGATTATTACCTTTAGATTTTATTATATACAGAGGAAAAACACTTTTTTATGCAGATAAAGAAATTTAAAATGTATTAGTGACGTGTAGACTTTTTTTTTTAATTAAAGGATTTATTTTAGGCATTTTTGTGGGTTTATGACTCATTCTTTTAGCATTTCCAGAGCGTTGGGGTTAAACTTTACAATTAGGGACATCTCTGTAGAGTAACTCTTTCTGTACCAAGCAATTGACCACTTGGTCTTTCAAGAAGGTAAAGGGACCAAAACATTTGTCAACAGAGAGCTGCTTCTGATGATTAGAAACCTTCTGTTGTCCTTGCTCCCAAATCCCTTTATTACTCGCCCCAAAAAAACTCAACTTCTCCAACTTTCCTGTCATATATTTTTTTTTAAACATGAACTCATTCTATTATTAGTCCAATTTCTTTTTTCTCTACAGTCTTATTTCAACTCTTTATGAACCACACATGACCGCTATAGCAGAATTCTTCAGCACAGAATGTGTTAAAATAACTGCTCATTAACAAGCCTGTCTTAACAATGATAAATAAGTAATGACATGCTAAAATCTAATGTCTAATCATTACAGCCTAGCTTTAAACCATACACAACATGCAAAATGTAGAGACGAAAAACTTGAAAAATTTACTTGAGGAGTCTGAAAGAATTAAGTCTTAGAGGATTCACTAGCAACTTATCAAATTCAAAAAGCATCTAGTTTAAAGGAAAAAAAAGTTCTTTGTATATCGTTTACAACACCAGCATTATTTGGATGTTGTGGTTTTTCTAGGCAAATTTATATTCAGTAGTTCATCTAGTAAAAGAGAATAACGTCCCTTTATCATTCTTCTTAGTATTCACTTGAGAGGTGGTTCTTGAGAAGAATGTTGCAAATACATGAGACTGCCAGAATAATTAACAATGACTGCCCGGAAATAGCTCATGAAAGTAGAACATTATATACAACATTAAGAAGGAGACAAAATTCTTTGGTCATGTGATGAGTAAAGGAGCACTGGAAAATATCGTGATGCCTGGAAAGATCACTGGTAGAAGAGGCAGAGGCAGACCAAGAGAAAAAATGGTGGATGGCTTAAGACAGTGGCATGGAGGAATATCATCAGTGGAACTGATCCAGAACAAACACAAGGACAGAGATCTATGGAAGATCTATGGAGGTGCATGAATACCTATGCAAGGCACCTGATGATAATGAGTATTCACTGGCTCTAAACTCTAGTGAACAAGTTTGGTTGTGTGTGCTTCTTGACTTTGATTCTTTTAGGACTTGAGTTTTGCATGCACATCCATTTAACAAATCTGGCTTATTTGTATGCACACTGCTGATTCCTGGCCTCCCATGGGTAGCCTCTAGAACCCACATGGGTAGCCTCCAGAACCCACATGGGTAGCCTCCAGAACCCACATGGGTAGCCTCTAGAACCCACATGGGTAGCCTCTAGAACCCACATGGGTAGCCTCTAGAACCCACATGGGAAGCACTGTATCCAAAAATCAAGCGGACATGAAATATCATTAACATTGTTGTTAAACAAATATAGGTATTTTATAGAAGATCAGTGTGAACATAAATCAACATCACAGCACCTCAAGTATGCCCATTTGTACTAAGTCTTCCTCAACTGAAAAGTATAAACACACTGGACAGTTTTTATCATATTATCAAATACAGGTTGATGAGAAAACAAAGACAAGTCAAATATTTTAGCTAAATTAAAATATGGCACTCATTTGAAAAAAAAAAAAAAAAAAAACTGGCAAAAGTCAAAGACGGGGGGACCAAAAGGTCAGCAATGATACAAGTTAGAAGATAACACCAAGAGAAGCAGTAACAGAAGTCTTGAAAATCTACCATCAGAACAGGCTTGAGTGCCAAACCAGGGGGCATCAGACGTTTTGAGCCTCGAGCCCCTCTAAACCCCAACCCCTCGCTATGATGTAAAGTAGTCTTTTTAAGCATTTATTTACACATTTCCTATATCACCTACATTATCCCTTATATACTTATTTAGCAAGCATTTTCCCTGCAATGACAAATGGATGTTGAGTTGTGGACTATCTCCCAGTCCTTAAAAAAGAAAATGTAGGCTATTGAGCTGAAATGCTATAGAAAGATTCTCAGAATACCAAGTACAAAAAAAAAGAGAAGAAATGCTGACATTTGAAAGATCTGAACATCAAGGGAGATTGGCTAATAAATAGCATCTTGTCTCAGAAGCTGAAATATTTTGGTCGCATCAAGCGCCACAGCGGACTGGAATAAATAATAGCAGAAAGCATCATACCAGGAAGGAGGGGCAGGGGTCGACCAACATGAAGATGGATGCAGGGAAAAAGTGATTTCTTGAATATGAAAGTGCACAAGGTGGGAGAGTTGGCGAGATACCAAGCTTCATTCAGGCAACCGGGATGACAGCGACATTCTGCATTGGACCTGCTACATGGTGATGATTTACTTTTTTACCATTCAGAACATTATTATTATTATGCATTGAAACAAAGCTTAAACCCTGTGACATTTTAAAAGAAAAACCATCAGCATCAAAGATACCTTCCATATCTTGAAAGACTCAGGGTCAACAACTGTTGGCTGTACAATCTCCTTTCCAGGGAACACTCCCCAAGTTACAGCATTCGGCTGAAACTCGTCACAGTTTGTGTGGTCGGTTATACCCTGAAATAAAACAGCATCAAATAAAAACTGGAGCTGGCATCAGTTTGTGAGGTCATGTGTTCCAAACAGAAGTTTGAGGCATCTGTGTGGTCAAATATATTCTAAAACAGGAGTCTGCCAAAATCAGTGTGGCCAGAAATACACAGACAAATACAGGAGCTTATTACAGTTTCTGAAGCTGGATATACAATAAAACAAACATAACTGTAGCCTGTCACAATTTGTATGGTCAGATATACCCGAAAACAGAAGTTGGCTACAGTTTATATGGTCAGATATACCAGAAAACAGAAGTTGGCTACAGTTTATATGGTCAGAAATACACAAACGAAACACATGAGCTCAGTTTATATGTGTGTGGGTCGAATAAACCCTAAAATAAAAACATAATCTTGCGCTGTTGTGGTCAGATTTATCTTAAAACTGGATCTAATTAAAGTCGGTGTAGTGAGTAGGAAGGGGGAGGGGAGAGAGGAGGGGGGGGGGACAAGCCAGTTTGTGTAGTTACATAAAGCCTGAAAAAAAACACATAGCTCATTGGAGCCTTAGTAGTGATCAGGCTCTAGCCTGCTAGAGTACTGGTTCTCAGGTTTTCCATGTGTTGGCTCCAAGGCCCCATTGTGGGGAAAACAAGAAAAGGCCTACTGCCTGTATGTCATGGGAGTCGAATAATTGGGGGCTTCCTTCAAAGTTTAGGTGCATCTACCTGAGCCGCAAGGAACAACAAACTGCATACAAATAAGCCAGTAAAACAGATGTACACACAAAACTCTAGCCCTGGCACAAAGCCAAATTCCAAATGGACAAACGACCAGGACTTTCCATCCGAGCCTTCAGGCGGTGAACAAAGAAGAAGGAAGAAGGGACTCTCAGGTTGACCAAGCGTAAAATGAGTACTAAGTATTCTTCTTCTTAACCTTCACCAGCTGTAAACTCTGGTGGAAAGTTCTGGTTGTCTGTCCACTCTTGGATTTTGGGCCTGACCCAAGCCTGAGTTTTGTTTGCACATCAGTTTTACAGATCTGGCTTATCTGTATGCAGACTTTTGGTTCCTTGCTTCTTAGACAGATATGGTCAAGAAAAGGATTCTGTCTATGTTGGCTAGGCCTGCGGTTGGAAACCTGCTTCTAGGATGACTGTGGAAAGATTCAAAATAAATCTGGTTCTATCCCCCCTCCCAAAAAAGTTTGCACTCCTGACTATTAGCTCGACAGAACTGACCCCCCCCCCCCCCCCCCTCCCCCGACAAAAGTTGGTTGACAGCCTAAGCTGGCTGCTGAAGAAGGGGACGGAGCGCTTGTGGGAATGCCCCGAGTGCTGTGATGTCGGTTCTTGAATCAAATCAAATCAATGTGTAAGAGGAAGAACGCCAGCCAGATGTAACTTTTAGACAAGGTTTAAAGTTAAAGTTAAGAGGAACAACTTCATTGCACCGGGTTTTAACCCACATGGCTCTGTCTCCCTCTATAAAATAGCAAATAAACATAAAATAAAAAACTCACTGTATGGTTTATAATGTGGTAGTTGACTAGTGGGTATTTAAGCAGGATCTCCTTCAGTGCTGCAACATTCTCCTTTGAGGTAAAAAACTCCAAATATGCCTGAAATTGACATTGTAGAAACATGTAGCATCACTATGAAACAACCAGCATAGTGTAATATGTAGCCACTAGAGACATGGAATGGAAGCTAAATGCATTTAAAAACAAATGCCTGAGGAGAATGAACATAAAATGGGTAAATTCAAGGGAGGTAAATAAACTAAAGAAAAAATACAACCACTGGTAACAACAGTTAGTTATAATTCATGGGAGCAGGATGCAGAGGATCACATTGCAAGGAAGGGGAAAATTAGAAACAGCGACACAGGAGAAAAGGGGTGCAGGCAGGTTTAAAGCTGACAGTCCCAGAAGAAACATTTGATGGCAAACATGGTACTAAAATCTCATGAACTTGATAAAGATTCTTGTCTAATGCAAGCGTGTGTCTGGCCAGTCGCACTCAACATTAAAATGTTGCTGTGATTCCCATATAAAAAGTGCACAACTGATCCTCAAATCTCCTCGCTGAGGTAAATGGTCACACAAGAGAAGAAGAAAAATAATGAGATACCTCTATCTCCATACAGCACAACTGAACATTACAAGCTAAAAAGACAGAAAGGTGATAACTCTGCCTTCGCCTCCCCCACCCCCTCCTTTCCTCATGCATACATACATACAGGGCAAATATTATCAACAATGTGCAGATTGGGCTAGCAGATAATGATGAATCTCTGACAATAACACAATTGTGTGACATAGGAGTAAAGCATGGTAAAGCAAGTCTATGCCACCTTCGAGGCCAAGATAGACATTATAGCCAACCTCTCATGGGAACAGTCAGTAGAAGTACCCTGGAGTGCCTGCTGTATCAGAGGTCTGAGCCCCGCATGGGAATGCCAAATGTGCAGTGACGTCAATCGTGATTACACAACATGAACACATACAAAGATCAGACAATCACCTTTTGATAAATATAGCCATTAGGAGCCCCCCAACCAACAACTGGATCAGTGGAAGGTGCACAGTTGACCCTGGGTTGGGAGTTTATGGTGAGGACACCCCGTCTGTTGACACAAGCAAGTTTGCTGGCAATAAGTGATGTTTCTGCAACTATCTCATCATCATCCCAGGGGATCCGCTTCACCTTTAAAAACATCACACAAAGAAAGGTATCACGTATAAGTGACTTAAACAGACTAATGCCACAGAGTGAAAAATCTTTCATGTATGTGTGCTTGAAAGAATACACCTACCTTTGATGTCTTTGATTTTAGTACATATAATAGTAACAGCAAAACCCGTTGTAGACCATCAAAGTCTATTCACTGTATTTCGACATCAGGGCGAAAATGACATCATGAGATACTAACTGCATACTGCTACTGTCATTATCACTACCAATGAACACATTCAGGATGCTCTGGAAGACTTCAACTGATACTCTATGTTCCGTAGTTGTTACGGGCAATCAATGCCTTCTTGAGCAAATCCACGGCTCGTGATTTCATGACTGTCTATCTGACACCAATCACTTGGATATACACACTAGATAGATCATACAGGGCGTTGCACAATACTGTGTGGAAGTTATACAGACACTCCGTCTGCGGCCTGCCATGTACCTTGAGATTTCTCCTTATGAATCTCCATCACGCTGGATTGGCTACTGCGGCAACTCTGGCAGATAGCCTAGACACCTAACTCCACGGTAACACATAAATGTGCAGGTCTAGTCTGGCAACACCCAGACTATAACATACCTTCATACACGTCGCCTGAGCTCCCTAATTCCGTGCCACAGCTGTGCACATAATAATGATATCAGTTATCAGGGGCTTTGACGATGCTTCCTTCACTCCAACGTAGTGGAGTCAACTGGTTTTTTTTTCTTTGTGGAGTCGACTCTTCCTCTCACTACACGGGGTAAACTGCCTCTGATAACACAGTCCATCTCCACATGTTTTCTTGTGCGACTATGGTTCACGTTCATTCATGAATTTCCCCATGATTCCCTTCCATTGCACGGTTATACAGGTCCTTGACCCTGTGATCCCACCAAATGGGTCTGCATTCAATTCACATATTATCCCTTTAAGTATGAATCTAAACTTCAAGGGCCATCAATGTAACAAATAAACTATTTCACCAAGGGACCTAACCCTCTGTTCCATATATTGCTTACAACATCAATCATCCCCATGATTGGTTTTTTTGGGGGGCCATAATTCAACTGGATCAACTGGATGACGATGATTGGTACAAGAATAATGATCAAAATACTGGTTATAAGAATAATTATAAAAGTAACTATTTCAATATTAAAAACAATAACAGAGGATGTTGTAAACCAAGCCATGCATGTGTTTTCTGTCTATAGTTTAAATGGGCAATTTTACCTATAGTAGTTTGCCACTGCTGTCAGAGCAGTCGGTACTCAAAACTATCTCAAAGTAAATGCATAGTAGTCTGACTGTTTTTTGTGTAGTATTGTCGGTTCTATGTATGTGCTGAAGAAGGCTTCATAGCCGCAACGCTCACGTTTTAGTTGTGTTTGTTATATGATGAAGCTCGGTGATATACTTTCTGTTGGGTTTTATATCTTTCTCTGCTTTCAGATCACCAAAGCTGGAAATGAACTGGGTATCCAACAACAGTAGCAGTAATCATTGCTTTCTTTCCTACAAAAAAGTGTTTGTACTCAATACAATGTGTTAAAAAAAAAGTGCTTGTACTCACCACAATGTGTTATATAAAAAAGGTACAGTATTGTGAACCATTGTGTATCACCTGGTGGTAATAATAATATCATTGTAAAATAACTATCAGACAGATATACCTTCACTCCATTTTTGTTGGGCTCTCCAGTTAGATAACAGACGAACACTGACCACACATCCTGTTCACAAGTAAGCTCCTCCCCCCACATCTTCAGAAGCTCTTCTTTGGACGACCGACTTTTCAAGTAAAACAAGTGATATGTCTTAATATCGTTGAAAGATGCTGCTCGGGAATCACCCCAGCGACCATTTGGGAACTCTTCCCAGTCTGAAGTTCGATACACATAGCTATTGGGTCGACACCTCCAGAAAATTGGACGAACTTGTTCTTCACAGCGGTTGTGGTTAGCCGTCTTCTTCCACGGTAAAGTACGACAAATCTGTGTCCATAACCCGAGTTGTTCCAGAACTTCTTTTACCGCTAATCCTCTGTTGAGTGTATAGAAATGGAGGCCGGTGGCAAACCCTGAGTTGAGAAGAATGCGGCACATGTCGACAGCCTGGTCTATCCCGTACTTTCTGATGGCTTCATCGTTGTGTTGGATGGGGGTGATTGTGTCGATGATGTCTTGAGGCACTTCTAGTTTTGATAGCTTGACGATGTGGTTGAGAGACTGGTAGGCCTGTAGATGACGAGAATATTTGGTTAAAAATCTGGGCGATTCCGATATGAATACGGTAAGGCTGATCAGTTCAGCTGATGGGGAAACAGGCAAAAACCAAGTCTATCTGCCACAATGAGAAAAATTAAACATCAGCCCCAATTAAATGAACAAAATGTCAGAAGGAGCTGAATGAACTAAACAGCCATAATGAGAACTAAACGTTGCCAAGAAGGCGATGAACTAAACATCACCACCAAGGAAATGAATTAAATATCTGCTATAATGAGAATATCCACACATTAATTAACCAAGAGGGAGAAATAAAAGGTAACTACAATGAAATTCTCATCTTCAGGAACCCCCTCCCACAGAGATAACATGCATTACTGATAACAAGCAATTGCGGCCTGAAAGATGTGTGCTTGGAAGGGTTGAATGTAAGATGGGCCTGCGTGCCAAATTTGTAATCCTTTGAAAAAAGTTAGTCCGTTCGTTCCCCACAGGCAAATGAGAACTATAATGTACTTATCCAAATGAAACTATGCCATATTTAATTTTATTTACACTCTCATATGTAGCTAATATATACTTATATAAGCATGTAGGAAGTTGGGAATATAAGTAAACAGAAAGGTCATAAGATAAGTAACAATATGCCATTTGAGCTAGGTGGTACGGTAGGTAGTAGGTTGGCTTGATAGTTATGAAGGAAGGAGCTGTGTTTTATAAACTGACATCATAGCGGTCGGGACATTCCCACAAGCGCTCTGTCCCATCTTCAGTAGCCAGCGAAGAGTTCCAATTCTGTCTGATGGTGGTACCAATAAATGTCTGATTGCAAGTGACTGATGTATGACAAGCTAGATGTTGTAAGGGCCCTTTGGGAGCCACTGAACAGTGGGGAGGAACAAATAGATCCTTACTGTATGGGGAAAATGGCGCCGTGAAGAGTTACCAGGGGATCTGGCCGACGCTCAAAACTCATGAGAAAGGCGAGATGGATATACAATCAGACAGTTACTGGTGCCATCGAAAGTGGAACTCTTCGCTTGCTGCTGAAGATGGGGATGGAGAGCTTATGGGAGTATCACGTGTGCTGTGATGTCTATTCTTAATTCAACATTGTAAGTGTGTCTTGCCTTTCCTCTTAGTGAAGGAAAGAAATAAGGTAATTAGGCTGACAGATACATAAATAGGCAGGCAGACAGGTAGACAAGGAAAGTACTTAAAAATGCCAAAAACAAACCTGTATAGGTAAAATGCCAGGTATTATAGGAACAGTTATTCCCAATGCACGGCAATCCTTTACATAATTTAAGAATGTCTCTGGTTTGAAAAACAACTGGGTAATGATGAAGTCTGCTCCTGCATCCACTTTTTCCTTCAGGTGCTGAAGATCTTCACGGTATGATTTACATTCTGGATGCCCTGTTGGGTAGCCTGTAGAGGTATTTGATAACAAGCGGTTATTAAAATAATATGCTATGCCAGTGTTTCCACAAGAAGGGACTAGGCCACCATCTTCAGACTCAGAACACAACATACTCCACTCAGTGGACACCTAAACAGAATACAGCCACAACACTCCCCAGAGTGCCAGTTATGTAACTACCCCTACGAAACTGTTGACCATCATCTCTTTGAGTGCCCAAAACTCAACGAGACTAGAAGAATGCTACTCCCTCCGAGACCAGACAGGTGGAACACCTTGTACTGAGGAAAAGAACAGCTTGTGAAAACATGTAAATTCCACTACATGGCACTGAGCCGAAGGGCAAAAGCTCATGCGCCGCTAGATCAATAACAACAAGGGAGTTTGTCTCCTTTAGAGATCTTGCAGATCCTCAGGGGTTTAAGGTATTATACTGTGACTGTAATATTTATAAAGTCCTTGTGTGGGTTCTTGGGCTCCATTAGAGTGAAGAGGGGAGGGAGTAGACCCGCTGGCCCCTTAACTAGCCTGTTGTACAAGGTGGCTTATTGGGGAATATTTCCTTCAAAGTCAAGAGTGCATCTGCTTGAGAGGCAAGGAACCAATAATCTGCACACACAAAAGTGAAATCTATAAAACACATATGCACGCAAAACTCAAGTTCTAGAACAGGAACAAAGTCCAGACAGAAGTGGACTAACAACCAGAACTTTCCACCAGAGTTTACAAGTGGTGAAGGCTAAGAAGAGAAAATATTTATAAATGATAAGTTCTTCAGTTTATTAAATAGTAGAAAAGTTGGAGCAGAAAAGAGGCAAAGAGAGACCAAGAAAGGATTATATATATATATATATATATATATATATATATATATTTTTTTTTTTTTTCATTATGCCACACATGAATATCTGTGTCCAAAATATGAAACATTTAATCACGTCCGTCCAAAAACACAGTGAAGATCAAAACCTATTCTTGAATTTGAAGGAAATAAAAAAATGTCCAGAGAAAACTGGCTGTCACCTAAAAGTAACAATAAATGATAAAAGAAACTGAGAATGTCATAAACTTAGTATACCTAGGCTCCACAATAAATAGCAATGGAGAATGTTCGACAGAAGTCAAAAGGAGGATGGTCACAGTAATACAAAGATTAAAACAGCATTAAAGTCTATGGTGAAGTGCCAGCAAAGAAATCAAAGTTAACATTTTGAGATCATTCATAGTCGTGGACTATCTCCCAGTCCTTAAGGGCAAAAAAGGTTTTTTTGAGCTGAAATACTATAGAAAAATTCTCGGAATATCTTGGACAAAGGAGAGGAGAAATGCTGACATTATGAAAGATCTGAACATCAAGAAAGATTGGCTAATAAACAGCATCCTGTCTCGGAAGCTGAAATATTTTGGTCATATCAAGCACCAAGACGGCCTGGAAAAAAAATAATAGCAGAAGGCATGGTACCAGGAAGGAGGGGCAAGGGCCGACCAAGACGAAGATGGGCACAGGATATAAGTGAATCCTTAATATGAAGGTGCACAAGGCGGGAGAGCTGGCAGAGAGACGGAGTTTCTTTCAGGCAGACAGTTACTGACACCCTGAAACCTCCCACCATTTATAGTATACTAAGCATATAAGCAAATCCTGGCTCTGCTACCTATGATCCGATAAACTGGCAGTACCTAGCGACATAAAGCAGATAATGAAAAGTAATGGCTGCTGAGAGAAATTATGGCTAACTGTTGCTATTTCCTTCCCAGTTTTCTTTGCAGCTTTTTTGCGGTCAGTGCCGTTTTTCCCTGGTTAGAGAACATGACACACTCATATGCTGAGGAAGGTCGGGACAGGCATGCTTCGTGCAGACTGGCATGCTTCACTGCAGAGGACATGTGTGGGGCGTTTTGTCTGGATTTTTTCACCAGAAAAAGCTGGTGTGTTGGGAAATGAACAGGTGGACAGACTGGCTGGCTCTGCACAACTTGGCGGAATATTAATGCGTATTGTCTGGATTTTTTCACCAGAAAAAGCTGGTGTGTTGGGAAATGAACAGGTGGACAGACTGGCTGGCTCTGCACAACTTGGCGGAATACTAATGCATAAGGCAGGCGTGGTTGGTGCCTTCTGGGAGAGCGAGTACAGTTTGGAGGAGCAGACAGATCACCACTCTGGTGAGATTGATGCAGCGGGGAGTGAGGAGAGGTTCTGGCAGATGCTCGAGGCTAAGAGGAAAGGCAAGACGGACGTTTAATCAGAATGCTACTGGCACCATTAGTATCAGAACTCTTCACTGAAGATGAAGACAGAGCGCTTATGGGAATGTCACGAGTGCTGTGGATATCGGTTCTTGAATCATCTCTACTCAACTCAGTTTTCTTTGTTGGTTTGCTTTTCCTGTCTTAAGATTGCAATAAAATTGGCTAGCTAACCTTACGCCCCACCCCAGCTCTGGTTGCATCCGATGACATGCCTGGTAGGCTTCTTTGTTACAACTCTCTAATATGGGCTTTACCTAAATTCTGTGATGTTAAATCTTTACCCAGACAGCCCAGATGTTAGGGCAGTGGGTCTTTTCTTGTTCCCTCCACAAAAGGGCCAAAACAAGAAAATACAATACTAGCTGCTTTTGCTTCCCAAAACAATTGCTGGGAACAGTTTTTAGTATATTTAGGTCTAGCACTATATGTATCTTGCGCTATTGGTATGAAACAAAAATTGGGGGTTAGGTCAACCTGGCAGCCAGTGCGTTTTTTTAAACAACGCTGATGGCAATTCAAAACAATGGACACATATCTGGCAAGCATGGTAAGCTTGACACAGGCAGAATTCCTGACATGACACAGTTTTCAAAACACTGAGACAAAGTAGACTAAACAGTTTATGTGCTGATTGTTTACAAAAAACTCTACAACTGGTCCACTACATGTATTTGTACAAAGAAAGCTCAAACGATATATTGCACAAGTTATTACTTATCTATTGTTTGTGTCTTCTGTGTTTAAAGTAACAACTAGAAAGCACTGCTTTAATTTCATGTAGGTCAAAACAATTGCAACAGTAAATATGGTTCTCAAAGTTTTGACAAAATTCAAGTTCTCATCTTAAGGCTCTCTCAAAATACTTTAAGTTAGATGTTTTCTGATAAGAAAAGGACAGTAGGACAATTCTTCAAATGTAAATAACAGTTAATAATATGAGATAGAAACAGGCAATGCGATGGGGAAAAAATGAAATGAACACCCCCACAACTGTGTGATGATGATGATTCCCCATGTGGGTATGGGGAGGGATAGGCCCCATTTAGGAAGGGGGGAGGGAGTACCAGACCCACTGCTTCCATTTACGTCCGAATGCATCTGCATGAGAAGCGAGAAACCAACTGTCTGCTTATAAACATACCAGATGTGTAAAATGAATGTGCATGCAAAACGTATTTTCTAGAACAGGAGTCCAGAAGTGGACGAACCAGGGCTGCTGAAATATTTTGGTACGTTGTACCAGATTTGTATTCAAAAGGTACCATATCACATCAAACGTTGTACTCTTAATTTTTAATGAAAAAAACTTAAAATGTCTTTCAAAAAGCGTGTGCGCACACATGCACTTTATATAGTACATATATAAACTGGTTTATTTTATATCCGATAAGAAATAATATTCTCTGTTCTCTAGATTATATTTTTTTTTCAGCATTAAGTCGTTAATACTGAATTATTAGTTCTCTCTATTCTTTATTTATTTGTTTATAATGTTCATCTTTAATCAGGCTGGGAAAATGCAATACCAATGGTAAAACTGACATTGGTTTTCCTTCAGTAACAATTACTGATTCAGGATGCAATGCTAAAATTAAAAATATCGATGCCACATTTCTAAAATGTATCAAAAGTACAGTTTTGCTCAGCAAATGTACCAAATTTGTACAAAAGTAACTACTTCGGCAGCCCTTAGACGAACAATCAGAACTTTCTTTCTGCCACCGTTTACAGCTGGTAAACGCAAAGAAGAACAAGATGATGATAATAATAAAGAGGAAGCTAAATGGCCACTGAGAAGAAAGCAAGAAATAAAGTTGTAAATACAGCATTTTTTATTAAAATAATTTCACTGAAATTCAATCAGCACAATCTCCTCTTGTGGGTTCCGGGGCATTATTATAGGGAAAACAAGAATAGACCCACTGCCGACCCAAAAGCATGTCGTAAGAGTTGACTAATTAGGAGCTTCCTTCGTCGAAGTCAGAGTGCATCTACCTAAGACAAGGAACCAACAATCTACATATAAATTAGTCAGATCTGACAAACGAATGAACACACAACACTCAGGTTCTGGAACAGGACTGCGGTCCAGAAGTGGACGAACAGCCAGAACTCCGCCGGAGTTTACAGCCAGTGAACGCAAAGAAGAAGAAGAAGAATCAGCACAAATTTCATAAAATGCAGGTCTTATGCTGAGGTGGAATTTTTCAAGAAGTTTCCCAGTTTAGGCTGAGTGGACCTCAGAGCCAAGGTCCAAATTATTATTTTTACAACAGAAGACAAATACACAAAAAGGACACAAATAAGGATGAAATCTCAAGGACAGAAGATAAGACATAATATTCCTGGAGGAAAAACACCACATGAGGCATAAAAGTAAAGAACCCATTTCCTCGCCTTTCAAGGGTATTGGGTACATAGGGCTAGACCCGTATTTTATAGATCAAACGGCACTTGGTGGTGATTTCAGCATCACACCAGCACCCTTTGCTTCCCAAGACTGTACCTGGTAGCCACTTAAAGTTGTGTCGACCTGGGGGGCCAAGGTCAGGAAAATGAACCCACGACCTTCCGATTTGCAGGCGGGCATCTAGCTGATGGACTACAGCGGCTCTCCGCGTGAGATATAAGGAGTAAAACGATCACAATTACAAACAACATAAATTACACTCATAAGACAGGACAACAGACAGAAAAAAGCAGAACCCTCATCTGGACCACAGGACCACAATAGAAAACCCAGACATGTTCACAGTGACAACATTGCACAGGTAGGACAATAAGCCACAACATATGATGCAGCCAACCATTTAAGCCACTGAACTTAGCGCAAACAAAAACAATCCACAATTATAATCAATACTATTTTCAGCAGGTTTGAAGATGGTCAACCCCCCCCCCCCCCCCAACTAACAATCAACAATAATTTTTTAGAGATGGCATTTGAGCACATAAAACAGATGGTTGCAAAAGAGTAATGTGATATCTGTTCTGCTTGGCACGGTGCCAGTAAAAAACTATCAATCCAAATGAGAAGCAGAAATAGCCAGCTTCACAATACCACAATCTTGAACAAAACATGAATGCTGCGACCAGAAAGCCGTCATCAGCATAAGTCACAAACTTAGCCAGCTTGGCGTGGAGCTTAATGGTGATAGCTGAAGAGAAGAAAAATCAAATGCCATAAGAGGAAGTAGAATCACGTTTAGAGACGGATATCTCAACTACCTAGGTAAGTAAAGTAAAGGACCCTTTTCTATGCCTTGAAGTTTATTGAGCACACACGACTAAGATACATATCTTACAGACCAACTGGTCAACCACCTTTACTTCCCAGGACTGTACCTGGTACCCATTTAAGGCTGGGTCGACCTGGAAGTCAAGGTCATTTCTGAAAAAGTCCAGCATTGTTGCAGCCTTATTGTAAATGGGTACAATGTATTTACATCTTCGGATAAACGCAGAAGAAGAATGATCCGATATCTTTTCACTCTAAAAATAGAATTCTCACCTGCGACACAGATAACGAAGTGATCACCAAACTCATCCTTAATCAGTTTAACCAAGTCTGTTGCATAATTGATGCCTCCAGGTGTGGCTTTCCATTCTGTATTCCCCTCAGGAATGTCTTCACAATAAAAGAAACAGACAACAAATTAAAGCAAATCAAAATTTATAATTGTATTAACAGAAGACTGTTATATTATAGATGCAAATAATGTTCACAAGGACGCAATGAAACAAATGATTGTATATTTTTGTGTGTGATATACTTAATTTTTCCTCTTTTATTCTTGCGCCCTTCACCCTCCAATGGAACATAAGCCCCCAACCAACTCAAGCCAACTAGTCCTATCTTTACTATGCATGCCGCTCACCCATATCATCCCATTTTATTTTTAACTGCGGTTTTGGTCCGTTTTTTATTTGTTTGACCCTGTGGGTTCCAGTGCAAAGACACTAGAGTTTTACTGTTCTCTGGTTCTCTCAGTGTGTGCCAGTTCCAGGATCGTTTCCTCATTTTGATTCGATCGCATTTTTTAGTTCTCTCGTAAAGCCTACACGTGTTTCTATTTTACCATACAATTCTCCCAATTCTGCTCAATCACCAGGTTAACTCTTTCAGTCCCAAACAAAGCTTCAAGTGCACCAGTCAACATAATAAGAAATTAATCCAGTGAACTGTGGCTAAAAAGCTTAACGAAATGGGAAAGCAGAAAACCTGCACAAAACACACAAATCGACGTTTCGGTAGGGGCCTTTCTCGACGCGGACTAACTAAACAAGAACAACAAAGTGGAGAATTACAAATAACAAAGAGGACAGTTGTGTATTAAGTCCATGTGGAGAAAGGCCACGGCCGAAACATCGATTTGTATTTTTTTCACGTTCTTCTGCTTCCACATTTCGTTCAGCATTTTATTCACAGTTCACTGGTTAATTTCTTGATATCAGCTTAAATGCAGTCACCCCCTTTTTCCAACACAATTTTATGATTGTACATTTTATGTTAAGTCAGGTCATAGTAAAACACTAAACATCACACCAGTCTCTTACAGGGAAATATTCTTTACTGCCGCCACAACTGGGTTTTCAACATATGGTCACTAGATTGTAGTTAAGTGTGCTAATGAACGTACAAGGTTTCCACTTTAATATGATGTATCTCTTATCTCTGATATACACTTCAAACAATGATTGAATACCTCTGATAAACACTACAAACACTGATCAAATACCTATGATATATACTTCAAACACTGGTAAAATACCTTATATACTACAAACAGTGGTCAAATACCTATGATATACACTACAAACACTGATCAAATACCTCTGATATACACTACAAACACTGATCAAATACCTTTGATTTACACTACAAACACTGATAGATTACCTCTGATATACACTATAAAACACTGATCACATGCCTCTGATATACACTACAAACAGTGATCACATACCTCTGACACTACAAACAGTGATCAAATTGCTTTTATATACACTACAAACACCGATAGAATACCTATGATTTAAACTATAAAACACTGATCACATATCTCAGATAAATACTACAAAAGTGATCACATACCTCTCATATACACTACAAACAGTGATCAAATCCCTCATATACACTACAAACAATGATCAAATACCCTTGATATACGCTACAAACACTGATAAAATACCGATGATATACAATACAAACAGTGATCAAATACCTATGATATACACTACAAACAATGATCAAATACCTATGATATACACTACAAACAATGATCAAATACCTATGATATACACTACAAACACTGGCAAAATACCTTATACACTACAAAAACTGGTCAAATACCTATGATATACACTACAAATACAGATCAAATGCCTCTGATATACACTACAAACAGTGATCAAATACCTATGATATACACTACAAACACTGATCAAATGCCTCTGATATACACTATAAAACACTGATCACATACCTATGATATACACTACAAACAGTGATCAAATACCTTTGATATACAACACAAACAGTGATCAAATACCTATGATATACACTACAAACACTGATCAAATACCTCTGATTTACAACACAAACAGTGATCACATACCTCTGACACTACAAACAGTGATCAAATCCCTTTTATATACACTACAAACACCGATAGAATACCTATGATATACACTATAAAACAGGTATTACATTCAACTAATTCATTTCCACGTCAGTGGATCACATACCTCTGATAAATACTACAAAAGTGAATAAATACCTCTGATATACACTACAAACAATGATCAAATACCCCTGATATACGCTACAAACACTGATCAACAAACACTGATCAAATACCTATGATAAACATACAAACTGTGATCAAATACCTCCTCTCAAAGCCAGTATGCTCCTGATCCCCAGATCCTTGGCTTTCAGCAAGTTTTCTTTGATTTCTTTGACTGTCATCCCAACACAGGTCATGTGAAGCATTGTTTCCAGGCCACAGTAGTTGAGCATGGTACCTGCAATACAGGTGGAGCTTGTTGGCTTTTCTGTGTTTGAAGGGTCCCCTGCAGGATGCCAGGTCATATCACAAAACAAAGGGCCACAGGCAGCGAGTCGCTCAATCCTAGCGTAAAGGAAATTATTGCAAAGCAGATAAATATACTGTTGAACCAAAAAGGATAAATTATAAGAAGTAAAAAAAATGTACAGTAGGAAAGTAAAGCAGCCGATTGTCTTGCGTTGGTTTTGACAGTTTTACAGAGAGCTGACCATTCAGAGGCAATGGCAAACTACAAAAGGTAAAATCTGCCTTTAAAAAATCACAACCGCCCAAAAAATGCTGGGGTTGGTTCTGCAGCGTCCTGTAAAAAATACACAACTAACTTAAGTAAAGTAAATCTAGAGATTTCTAGACAAAAATTAGAACTGTCAAATCTTCTTCTTCTTTCGTTCGCTTGAAATGGATTATCTATATCTTCAATGTTGTCTATAGTATGGACTTCACTGTCCTTTGTAATTCACTCAACAACCCGTAGTAAAGTTTGACTTGCACCGATGTTTCTTTTGGCCAAATGTTTTGCCCTATAGCTATAGAATTTTCAAATATTATATATACTTAATACACAACCCTACTATAATGAACTTGTAATTATAGTTGAACTGAGGCCTGAAGAGAAGATATACAGAACAATATGTTGTTTTTATGGCAACAACAGCAGCCAAATACAGAGGTTACTAAGAGTGTGGGAATCAAACAATTGTATAAAAAAAACAAGATATATTAAAAGACATGGAATATTTTGACCAAATTTAAAAGATAAAACTAAAGTTAGCTGCAAGTCCTTTATGTTAGGTGTCAATTCTATATTTATGAGTTAGTTGGTCAGTCTTTCCTCTTTGGCCTAGTGTGGCGCATAGAGCAGAGATCATAGTTCTCCGTGTCTGGTGGTTCGTTGCCACTTGCTTTTTAAGTCTTGGATGTTTGTCAGGCCCATGGTTGAGTCTTTCCTGATGATGGCTCTACGAAGATTCTCCCCTAGTCTACCCCGTTTTCTTGTCCCTTGCGATGTCCATTTACATTTATTGGAATATACACAAATTATTTGATAATTCACAAGGTAACTCAGTCACTGGTCTCCCGGCTCCTAATTCTTCAGAGCCCGTCACGACGAAAGTGTGCAGCTCTCTTTCCTGGCAGGCGGCACTGAGCAACATCGTTTTTAAAATTAATTTTAGTTTTTTTTTTATGCGTGGGCGAGTGTTTGACTATTTTTCTTTCCTCTATCAACTACGTCTCTTGCGCAACCGTCACTCGTTTAAAGCAACACTACTCTGCTTGCTACTCGCCAATACTGACAGTTGAAGGAAATTCATCTCGAAGTTTAAGTCAGCAAGTAAGGCTGCTGTGATAGCGATGAAGGGCCAACGCACAACGCTGTAACGCACACAGTGCCAGCTGCTCGCAACACTGAAAACAGAACATGCTGGCTGCTCACAATGCGGAATATAGACTGCTGCTCACAATAACACAATGTGACACCCCTAGAACATAGAACAGCCCGTCAGAACGGCCACAGCATGAATGGGAGCCCGTGAGATGCAGGCATATTCATGATGTGCACCTTTCAAAGGTAAAAAACAACTAAAAATAACCAGACATGCAGGACTTTTTCATTTTTCTGTCAGATACCAGATACATCAGGAGGCCAGTAGCCTTGACGAAAGCTATGTGCAGTCTAAACTTCATGCACCACACAATTTTTGTCTTGACTGACACCATTTTTGTCTTGATTGACACCATTTTTGTCTTGATTGAGACTGGAACAGACAAGATGGCTTCTCTGTTAGTGGCATACAGTTTAGTGTTTGAAGTACATGTTCAGCATTTTCTGGTGCCAGGTTTCAGGGACAAATTGTTAATTAATCACTTTGCTTCAAACACATAGAGTGCAGGCTGCTTACGGTGACCTCAGATGTGGCTAATTTCTGTTGTGAAGAACAAATTGTTTATCTCCAGCAATCACCATATGCTTGAACTTTTAGCTGGATAAGAGGAATTTCTGATAAGAAGAACTCCTCCTCCTTTATTACGTTTACCGGCTGTAAACGCCAGCGGAAAGTTATGTTTGTTCGCCCATTTCTAGACTTAAGTCTTGTTCCGAACCTGAGTTGCGTATACATCTATTTTACAGATCTAACTTGTTTATATGCAGACTGTTGGTTTCTTTGCCTCTCAGACAGAAGCACTCCGACTTTAAAGGAAGCCCTCAATTAGCTGACTCTTACGATATGCGCTTGTGCAGACAGCGAGTCTATTCTTGTTTTCCCCATAATGGGGCCCCGGAACCCACACAGGGATGATAAAAAGAACAATTGTTTGCGTCCCTGATAAATTCTCCTTATCAGGTCTGCACTGTGTACAGTACTTACAACTGTCATTACTTACGTGGAAATTAAATTGGCAGCTCCGCTCTGTGTACGAGGTGGGAAAAACTCAAGAGAGTAGAAAGGTGTTCCACTCTTCTCCCTTTCTCTGATTCTTTCTATGAGAGAGACATATTTCTTCTTCAAGAAATTTGGAGACTGTGCTCTTGAGTTTGATGGGGACGTCAACGAGCCATTAATGCTCTCACCAGAAAGTTTTCTTAATGAATTATCCTGATTATTCAGTATAATATCACAGCCACTGTTAGAGTTACTTGTAAGTTCATCTGACTGGCTCAGGGAAGGTTCTGACGTATCGTAAATTTGTTGTTGATAAATATCCGTTACCGCTGAGACTATTTCATTCTGTGTAACTGTTCCGCTGATCACATCACCAGATTTTACCTCTGGCATTTTCGTTTATATCTGTCAATAAAAAAATGCTTTCATTATTATGAATTCAATTATTAATTTAAAATGGTAGTCATGCATTCATGAATTTGAACATTTAGTCTAGAGTCCATATATTTATTTGTTAATTCAAACAAATAATTATTAAATCCTATAATTATTAATACCTAATTAAAGTTCACAGCTAAAATAATTATTTTAAAAATATGTTGCTAAGTAAATCTCTTAAGAACCATGTCTGATGTTGATGAAATAAACAGAAAACTATTTTTTTTTTAAACCGGCGAAAATTAAAAAATGAGGTGACCAATTTTAGGATAAGGGCAAGCTGCACCTAATGTCATAGGATGGGTCAAGTTGGTGCAAGGTGGTTTGAGGACCTGTGCTCCACAGGGGGATAAAAGGTACAAAAAGACAAAGTTACAAATGACACCAACAACAACAACCAACGAAAAATGCTGCTTTTGAAATCAGAATCACTTGCATCTACTTGTGCTTCAAACTATTGCACAACTCAGGGTGTATTTGTGGCAAAGTAGTCAAGCCTTTTGCCTTACATTCTAAATGTTGTGGGTTTATTTCACTGTTGTGTCATTTGGTTCACGGGTTTTACAGAGATCCTCAGGGTCAACTCCAGAGTCCGCGCTTTGTGCGCTGCGCTCGGCAGATGGCAAGTTATTTTATGAAAGAGCAGGCCATATAGGATCAAACCTAGTGCAGTGGAGTCGATGATCGTCCTGACTTTCAACGTTAACTGCATGACCCAGATTAGTCATCCATGGGTTGGAGCAGCAGAAGTCTACTGGTAAATGCTAGCTCAATGTGCCTAGGTTTTTCTTCCCTTGGAAGTGGGGAATTTTACTCAACCATATGACCCTAAGGAAGAGGGCACTGCCTTGGTGTAGAGGCTAGGCGCTTGCCTGCAGATCTAAAGGTCGTCTGTTTACATATGCATAGTGCTGGACTCTTTCAAAAAAGATATTGGCCCCAGGTCGACCCAGCTTTGAATGGGTACCAGGTAAAGTCCTGGGAAGTAAAGGCGGCTATGTGATGTTGACCACTTTGTCCAACAGGACATAAGCAGCCCATTAGGTTCCAAGGTCTATATATGCTGGGGGGGGGGGGGGGGGGGGGGTTGACCAACTGTTCCTTAACAAGAATGTCATAAAAGATCACTAACAAAAGGGGCTGACGAACATGAAGATGGGCACAGGATATAAGTGACTTCTTTAATATGAAAGTACATGAGGTGGGAGAGCTGGCAAAAGACTGAGTTTCTTTCAGACAGACGATAATGGGAGGGACATTCCGCAAAGGACCTGCTACATGATGATGATGATGTGCACTGCAGTTGTGGAGAAGTAAAGTAAAGAACCTTTTTTAAACCAGTGGTGCATCAGGCATGCATATAATATAATTAATAATGTGGTGAGTGGAACATATATAATTTACTTGAAATGATATGAAATATAAGGAAAATATTTAAAAGATAACTTTTATACATGGTTAAAGGAGTCTCTTAGGCCTCTCGCAAAATTACTGGGTGGGTGGTGGAGCTCAAATACATGAGCCCCCCCTCCATTTGCCTAGAACATTTATAAAGTGGTGAGGAGAATGATGTTTTCTTAATTTATGGAGGGGGGGGGGGGGCAGAGGTTGAAAGCATTTGAGCTCCCAATTTTTTTGGCTAGCTGATGATAAGGGCATTGTTGGGACTCAACGCCCCTTCTCGCCTCACTGCCTAATGTGTTTTTTTTAGGGAAGGGCCCCCCCCACTCCCTGGAAAATATGTAAGGCCTAAATATTTTCTTCAAGATGGCACCCCTGATGCTGGTCAACTTTACTTTCCATGTTATTTCCTGGTACTGCCAGTCAATAAGGGACATTATTTTGCGAAGATTTTTAGTGGCTATCCCAGGTCGACCCAGCCTTAAGTGGGTACAGGATGCAGTTTCGGGAAATAGAGGCGGCCCGCGTGATACTGACCACATCACCCATCTTGTGCCGATTCGTCTATAAAAATATAGGTCTAGCCCTATACACCTAAAGACATGGAAAAGGGTCCTTTACTTTTTTAACTTATCAGTGGCTATAGAAGAAGTGCAGCAGAGTATCTTTTAACAGTCTAGAAAATGATTTTGCTGTGGTTTATTTACTAAAGCTGCCAGCTCCTCCAATCCCAGATATGTCCATGCCAATGGTTTGTATTTATTCATCACCATCCTACTGTGCTCTTTCCGGTCACACAAGGCTTGCAGTCTATTCCGTCACATTATTCTGCTTTAAGCAATCTTCTCCATATCAAGGATGGAATCCAACCAAGCACCTTTAGCCTCTCTCATTTTTTTTTCCATTTTTTAGTTTCTCTTGGGGGTCTTTATTTCATCAGACCATTTGTTTCCATTTTAAGGTGTTTTGTGATTTATGCCTCTTCTCAGGATGTCCCCAATACAGCGCCATCTACATCTTTTAACTGCTGTTACCAGGGATTGTGCAAATATTTCTCTCTACACCTTTCTTGAATTCATCACATTTATTGTTATCAAATTCCATCAGGCCTGTTTTTTTTTATTTTATTACTAAACATTTAATATCCTTCTTCCTCGTGTTTACCAGCTGTAAACTCTGGTGGAAGTTCTGGTTGTTCATCCACTTCTGGAATCTAGTCCTGTTCCAGAAACAGTGTTGAGTGCACATCCACTTCACCTGACTTATTTGCATGCAGAATGTTGGTTTCTTGCCTCTCGGGCAGATGTACTCTGACTTAGAAGGAAGCCCCAAATTAGACTTAGTCAGGCGGTGAGCCAATTCTTGTTTTCCGCCCCAGTGTTGCTCTGAGACCAACAATGGGGCCCCGGAACCCACTCAGGAAAATACATTTAATGAGCAAGCACTTTTAACTTCATGGAGTTGTATTTATCATTGTTTCTTATCATTGACATCTCCAGGTGTAGGATATGGGGAGGTGAAGGGTGAGGGAATGGGAAAGAGACCCACGGCGCAAAACAAAATCTGGTCTTACAAGGCAATTAGTGTTCAGAGAAATCAAATGTGCTGAGCTGAAAGATACAGATAACACAGCAGAGTTGTAAACAACAACACAGTGTGCCACCTGCTCTTTTAAAGGCAGATGCAACAGAAGTTGATGGATTTCTGTGCAAATGGAAATGTCTGTGTGACAACTCTTTGTTAGCATGTCCACTTGTTCTCTGGTCTATAATGTAGACTGTTGGAAATTTGGGTGACACTTTTTTCCAGGCAAAGAATAGTAAGCCAAACATGTTTTAAAAAGCAAAAACAATCAGGTGTTCTCAGTGCTGAAAAAAAAAACAATCTAAAATATTAGCAAAGCTGCTGTCATAAAAATAAAACTATTCAAAATAATTTATTACATAACATAATTTGCAAACACAAACTTAGGATGACTGCTTTAATATAGTGCTAATAGTATATTGTTATTAGCTCATTGTCAAAGTGCAAACAAAAACATTTGATCATCAGAGTATGAGTGTTAATACTGATATTAGTGATATACTGTTTTCAAATCTGCAGTCAATAAACAGCTGACATCTAACTAATGAAATCCTGCAGTCGGCAATCATAAACAAAGGACTAATCATTGTTTGTTCTCTGACTGCAGTCTTAAACACGCGACTATCAGGCTATATTAATGTTGATATCAAATCGCTACTGTTACTATCTCGTCATATTCGAAACATAAAATCCAAACGCCAACAGAATACTGCTACCATATTTGCAATGATAAACATGTAACGACGAGTGCAGTAGGACATTATCATGCCAGTTTTAACAGCACACAAATACAGCTGATCCATTCCTGGTTAGCTGTTTTCCAAGGATGCCTGACACCAATTTGACCTGGTTGCTTAGGCTTCCCTCACCCCCTTCTCCTCCCTACTCGACGTAGTAAACAAATGCCGACCTGCATGCAAACGGTGGGCTACCAGCCTTGTTTACATTTGCAATTCTGTTTTCGTGGAAATCGGATCTGACTTGTACAACACCTACATTATTCAAGGAACAAGTTACTTCATCGGTGTTATAATTGCATTTTCCTGGGAAACCAAATTGTTTGATAATTGGTATAACCAGGAATTTGAAGGTATACGCTGTACACACTTCTCTAGATAATGATTTTTAAAAGCTAATCACAGCTTAGGCATTTTAATACTATATTATTACTGAAAGGTACTATCTAGCAAACCTAGCGCTGGGCATTATCATTAAAGTTTATCAAATCATAAATATTTATCTTACTGTCAAAAACAAAAATGATAAACTACCTACATGAATACAGTTGGTATTACTAATTTACAAAACCTTTTTGTTATAAACAAAAATTTACAATAAAGTAGCAGCTTAATAATAAGCACTTCTCTATAGCAAGGTATTTGTCGTTTGGCAGGCGGGTTCGAATCTTATGTAGTACCTGGCTATAATTTTACTTCCTATTTATCATGCCCTCTAAACGCTAATTGTTTGTTAACTCAAAGATCAAAATAAATGTTTTGCATGCAACAAGAAAATTATAGTAGAAAATAAGAAATAACAGACTGAGAGATGGTTTTAAATGTCTGTGAAGACTGCGGGTACAGAGATCTATCTATCTACTCCGCCGCCTGGCCGGGGACTGCAGCTGGAAAGACCAAGCAAATTAGGACACGCCATTTTATACGCATATGCAAATGAGTGGACCTATCAGCGTGTGAGGTCACCGACTTTAACCAATGAATTCAGTTGTAAAAATAGAAACGGGAATTTGTCTAGACCATGAAAACAATTAATTTGGTTGACGACCCCGAAAGTCTGAGGTTCGAATCCGATTTAATTTTTTTTATATATATAATTGATCATGTCTTCCAGGTCGTTCCACCTAAAGTGTGTACAAGGAAATTTCGAAGTCAGTCGGTTTGATGATCACATTACCCTTCAAGTGAAGTTTGTTTTTCTATAAAGTTATTTTTCTTCAGCATTCCGAGCCC